AATTTTTTTTTTTATCGCAGCTGTGGAGGGCACTCTAGATTAAGGGGAAGTGTATGAAAGAGAAGCCAAACAGATGGCAGATGGGACGCCCTCGCCACTCTACCGGAAGAAGGAAGCAGATGTAACCATGGATACCGACAGACGCTTTGTGAAATAGAGCAAGAGGCTATAAAAAAAAGAAAAACATTTAAATATTAATTAAAATAAGGTACATTAAAAATAAACTTAGATAAGTCAGATAAGAGATACAATGCAGTGTAATCAAAGTAATTAACTTGTTCAGATTTTCTAGACACAGTTTACACATTTACAGATTCATCTGGGCAATCTTACCTCCATCCCATTCCTCTTTTTAGTGAAGAGACTCTCATTTTTAATCCGTAGATCGATTAACTGCTTTGTTTTTTCTTCTGTCCCTGTGAACACAGAATTACATATTTTTTTAAAAAATCATGAATTTTTTAGACAGTTTTAAATAGTTTATTTAAGCATATGGACGTGGAGGTTTTCATCTTTTGACACCAAACATTCTGTGAGTTTGTTTGAGACTGTAAAGTAAGGGTGAGGAAAACAAATATGTGTGTTTGACCTAAAATATTTTACAAAGTAGAAAGACGGAACTCTTACATTTGTACGTTCTTTCCTCCACTGTGATGTTGCGCTTCCTGCTGGGCTCATCAGAAGCCTGCACTGATGCACACTTGCAATCTAAGGGCTGAGCAGTCCACTCGCACTCAGCGATAATTGGTTTGGGACGGCCCTTAATATGGCGAAGCTCAGCGTGACCGCGCAAATGGAGGGGGAGTGAATAGGGCGAGGGGATAGGGGCCGGTTTGGGATTGGGCCATAGAGTCCTCACATCCCTTGCGGAGATCAGCGGGTGGAGCGGCTAGCACACTTAATGGCAGACAGCGCCCCAGACTAACGTCCAAGAACACAAAATTGAATCCACAAAGTATCTTCATATTGGTCATCCGTAGTGATCCAAGTGTGCTGAAGCCCTGACATAAAAAGCTGTTTCGAAAAACGTCATATGAACTCTGTTTTTAGCCTCACTGTAGCCTGTAGCTCTGACTGCTTCTCTGTGCTCTGCACTGACGCGTGCGCGCCTGCGCGAGACCAGCGAAAGCATGAGCTTTGCTTACCCGTGTTTACATCACGTGACACATGCACTGCAGGGGGAGACAACGGTAACCACAGAGCTAAAAGATAATTTGCACTACAGTCTTTTAGCAAAGTACAGCCCAACATGTCTGAAGACTTTGAAATTGAGGAGGAACAGTATTTCTTTGTTGAGCCGTATTTGTTTGAGCCCGAGTATACGGACGGAACTCAGGCTACTGGACGAAGCAGCTGCCGCAGCTCATGAGCCTAACCCTCAGCCAGCCGTAGAATACCGGAGTGGAGCACTGGAAACCTGGTGGTGTAGTTGTTTCAAATGCAAAGCAATGCCAATGAGGAAAGTCTTTGCTGCTCAGACTGGGAATTGGCGATGCCTGCACTTGAGAATCTGGACATCAGTACTGACGAGATTGCTGCTCTTCAGAGACCGTGCATCACCGATCACCCTGAGCGCGCACACGTGAGCGCGGAGCACAGAGAGGCAGTCAGAGCTACAGGCTACAGTGAGGCTAAAAACAGAGTTCATATGACGTTTTTTGAAACAACTTTTTATGTCGGCTGCAGCACACTTGGATCACTACGGATGACCAGTATGAAGATACTTTGTGGATTCAATTTTGTGTTCTTGGACGTTAGTCTGGGGCGCCATCTGCCATTAGGTGTGCTAGCCACTCCATCTGCCGATCTCCGCAAGGGATGTGAGGACTCTGAAACTTCACCAGGGCCTCCGTCGGCATATGGGTGAGTAGATAATGGCTGAATTTTCATTTTTGGGTGCACTATCCCTTTAATAATGTGTTTATTTGATTTACAGCCATAATGGAGGCAAACACGGAACAGCAGTCAAATGAGCCGTCCACCTCCACTGTGAACGAAATGCAGAGAGATGCAGATTGGACTCAGGATCTGTCTTGTCCAGTTTGTCATGATATTTTCACAGAGCCTGTGATGCTTCAGTGTGGTCACAGCTTCTGTAAGACCTGCGTGCACAAAGACTGGAAGGGGGAACTCTATCGGAAATGCCCCCTTTGTCAGCAAGTTATAGACCTTGAACCTCAGATTAATTTCGCTCTGAAGAGTTTGAGTGAAAACTACAGAAAGAGAGGTCAGTCTGATCCCTCAAGAGGACACAGCAATGACTCAGCGTCTTATCAGGTGAGGTCACTCACATGTTCATGTAGGCTATGTGACTTTTGTAATTGTAAAGCAGCAACCAACAATGTAACAAGATGAAAAAGAGGACTAATTTAGGGGCCGTACACATGCTGCATCTTTAACCGCCTGGAAAACGCAAGGTCAGGTGCTGTGAGCTACTCTTGTGCCTTTTTTGTGCCAGCTTTCAAGAGTGTGGCAGCAGGTTACGTCTGAGGTTGCTAAGCAACCCTAACAAGCATAGTATAGCCTATTTACCAAAAACCCTGAGTGCAGAGCTGATCTTCTTCCAGACGCTGTTTATAAGTGTGTAGACCTATCATCTGTGGGACAGATGCAAAGCTCTGGGTAGCCCTGCACTAACATGATCAATGTTTCCGTATTTATCAGACTGAATATTTACAGATGAAGGGAAAGATATCTGTTGGCTGTGATTGGTTGTTCCTCCTCACATGACATGCGGCGCGCGCTGCGTTCCAGAAGTTGAACTTTGGCTGAATCTAAATGTCCGGACTTCACCGCACTTGCGGACTTGTGGACTTTGCGGGCGAGTTCATGGGAAGTCTGAGATTGCTGAGGGCTCCAAATCCACAATTCAGCCAGTCCACAAGGGGCCTCAAGTGGACCTCTTGCAGACTTCCAGAGAGTCCACTTGGGGTGCAGACTTCAGACTTAATAATCCACATTTCATTGCAATACAGATGTGACGTTGTGGGTTTTTCAACTGTGTGGGCCTGAAATTCAACACATTCAACCACATCATGATACAGAAATATGTTTCAGTACAGGCTGTAGAGGGACTGAAAATACATTATATTATTGCGACCTATCAGGCTGTGCAGCAAAATCTAATGTAAGTAATGCCTGGAACCTGTTATGCAGAGACATATTACTACATTTTTGTTTAGCCCTTGCAAGCTTTACGTGATGACAGTAAATATGTCATACTACGTACAACTGAAGTCCGCTAGGGCTCAGTCTGCAGGTCCAGAGGGTGGACAGCCCAAATGTCCACCCTCTGGACTTGCAGACTGAGTCACTGAGTCACTGAGTCACGTCGGTATTGCTATGAATTGTGGGTTATTATATCAGTGAAGTCTGCTGAAGTCTGCACCCAAGTGGACTCTCTGGAAGTCTGCAGAAAGTCTGTTTAAGGGCCCCTTGTGGACTGGATTAATTGTAGCATTGGACAGCCCTCAGTACTTCCAGACTTCCCAGGAACGCGCCTGCAAATTCCGCGAGTCTGCAAGTGCGGTGAAGTGTGGACATTTGAATTCAGCCTTTATCTCAGAGCGCAGCCCATCCCGCCCTTAAAAAAATGGACGTTCGGGGACGTGTGCGTGCCACGACGTTGTTGCAACGCTATGGCAGGTGCAGTCTGGCCAACCGGCAGGTGCCAGTCAGCCGCAAAAAGATTTTGTCCAGCCACGTTACAAACTGAAGCAGTCATATAACACTGTGAAAGGTGGCTTCAGTGTCAGTGACTGACATTGTAATCACTGACTTGGTGGTGGCATTTGACGACTTTGGAATGAGAACAGGCTGGTTAAACACGGCTCCCTTTTACTCCAATTCATCAAGAATTTTCTCTGTTTTGGATTCTTCGTTCACTGTGGAGGCATGCAAGGAAAATGAAGTTTCCCTCACAAATTCAATGTAACACAGGCTGAGAAACTGATACGAATATTATAATATTTGGGGGTGAAGTGTTCCTTTAAGTGTTGTGCACAGACATTTATATTCAGCATTAGTTATTCTTGGGTTTGACAAAGAAAACAATATCTCATCCAGACTAGTTTTGATAGCTGGAGGAACTTTTGGAGTTGTTGTATTGAGTTTTTCTTTTTTATAAATTCAAGTTAATGTTTTTATTTCAGACTCCTTCCAGGACCATCAGACAGAAGCAGGAAGCTTTTGAAAAGGTCAAACAATTTTGTGATTCATCCATCAAGCACATTCAGGTTTGTCAGCAGCATCTTTTAAATTTATCTGGAAAATCTTTATCACATTAAGAAGTGTAGAGACTGAGCAGTTCTTACTGTGACCCACAGAGTCAGAGACGCACCACAGAGCAGAAGATTAGGAAAGACTTTGAGAAGCTTCGTCATTTTCTCAAGACGGAAGAAGAATCCAGAATAGCAGCATTAGAAAAAGAAGAGACTCAGAAGATTCGTATGATGCAGAAGATCACAGAGATCAGCAGAGACACATTCTCACTCTCTGACACTGTGAAAGAAATGGAAGACTTGGGGGCTGACTCGTTCATACAGGTAGTTATTAAAACTCGGGAAAGGTTGAATTCATACAAAGTAATCTAAAGACTGATGCATTTCTTGTTTTATTTGCAGAACTTTAAGACTCAAATGGAAAAGTGAGTATTATTATTGTGTGTCCTAAAACAATTTTTACATGTCTATATTGAAAGAGTATTTGGTCACTATAATCAGTCCTCCTGTCCAATAATATGACTCAGAAGCCACAGTCCTCATTGTATGCAAAAATGCATGTTTTAAAGGAACAGTCAGACATTTGGGGAAGAGCATGCTTATTTACTTTGCTGCTGAGAGTTACATAAAACGATCTTTGCCTGTCTCATGTCGGTATGTTATATGTGAAGCCACAGCCAGCTGGTTAGCTTAGCTTAGCTTAGCATGAAGACTTGGGGAAGCATCTAGCTTGGCTCTATGTGGTTTGTTTAATTTGCACATAAACTTAAGGGACAATGTGCAGAATTTAGGGGGATATATTGGCAGAAATGGAATATAATAGAAAACTGATATTTTCTTTAGTTTCTAATCACCTAAAAATAAGAATTGTAGTGTTGTCATTTCCTTAGAATGAGGCATTTATATCTACAAAAGGAAGGGGTCCACTACAGTTAGAAGCTCCTCCATGATGAGCAGTGTCGTAAAAACACCAATTTTTTTAAACATGAAACTGCTTTATTCAGTGTTTTTACCAGTTTTAATTCTTCATTTGTTTGATTTGGAGAGGAGGAGACCTCTGTAAATAATTTGGCTCCCGGTAAACACACCTTTACATTGTAATTGCACCAGGAAAGGATCTTGCCATTGCCACTATGGATACAAGGAATGATCATAGTGACTCAACAAACTTTACCAAAAAAAAAAGAAAGAACATATCTCTTGAATTTGCTCCAGAGCCCAGAGGGCACTGCCAGATCCACAGCTACTCCGACAACCACGGATAGATGTGCCCAAACATGTGAAAAACCTTAAGCTCAGAGTTTGGAGGAGGATGTTGACCGCCACGAAGAGCAGTAAGTTGGGGGCACATAAGCTCCGAATTACACAGTAAATTCCCCAGTGTAAAATAGCGTGTTAGAGTTCATTGACTTTTTCAGAGTTATTACAACAACAGCTTGAATAAGATGACTCCCAGAGTTGGCGTTAATCTGCATAGATAAAACAGGTGTTGTTAAAATTACTCTGTAAAGCCCCGCCCACTTCCACTCCTTATTTCTAACTGAACTGGATTTTGACAGCCCTGCCTCTCAGGTCCAGTTCCATCTTCTTGTTCTTCTTCTGATAATGATGAATGTACCGCAAATGCCACTCACTGGCTGTTAACATTAATGCAAGAACCTGGTGACCTTGCTAATGGGGAAAAAAAAAGTTTCAGTTTAGATCAAATTGATTTAGTTTAGATCAAAGAAACCACGCACTGAACTTAAGATACAGGATAGCTAATACTGTGTTATTTTCCTCTAATTTTTTCGACATTTTTTTTTATAATACCACAAGGTATTTTTATAATACCATACCCAATGTTTGGGTGGGTGGAGCGCATCAAGTGACATCCACATGAATGCCAGGACTAAAGGTTTCCCAGCAGAACACTGCATTGTAACAAGATGATTAATGTTATTTACTTCACCTGTCAGTGGTTTTAATTTTTTGGCTGATCGGTGTATGTTCATTTCTATCGTGTCTCATCTGATTAATGCTAACATTATCCTTATGTTACACCACAGACTCATAAAAGTACTTACGTTAGTTAATGTTCATGTCTGTGAGACAGGTCTATGCAAACTTGTTACACACGTCTTAAATTTTGGCATTCATGTAGATGTCACTTGATGTGCTCCACCCACCCAAGCACTGTTGCAGACCAAGTACCCCTCCTCATGGCAATGACACTCTCCGATGGCGATGGCCCCCCAGCTGGACAATGCCCCGTGCCACACCCCACAAACTGTTCAGGAATAACCCGAAGAATGGGACAAAGAGCTCAAGGTGTTGACCTGGCCTCCAAATTCACCAGATCCCAATCCAATTGAGCATCTGTGAGATGTGCTGGTACCCCACCTCATAACCCACAGGACTCAAAGGATCCTCTGCCAAGGCACTGGTGCCAGACACCATAGGACAACCTGTGTCCATGCCTCGACAAGTCAGAGCCAAGTATGAACCAAGGAGGTCCCACCATGGTTTGTGGGTGTCTCTTGCTGTAGCAGCACGTACCATGAATACTCAAGCAAGTTAGTATCTGGGAAATTTGAGGTCAGGTCGATGTCCTGAGCTCTTTGTCACGTTTCCCAGGCCATTCTTGGCCTGGGAAACGTGACTTGTGATGTATGGTGCATTGTCCTGCTGTGGAGGAGGCCACTGCCATTGTGGAGTGCCATTGGTCAGGGGTGTACTTGGTCTGCAACACCTCAAGTACCATCCACATGAATGCCAGGACCAAAGGTTTCCCAGCAGAACATTGCACTGTTACAAGATGATTAATGTTATTTACTTCACCTGTCAGTGGTTTAAATGTTTTGGCTGATCAGCATATATTCATGTCTCTCGTGTCTCATCTGATTAATGCTAACGTTATCCTTATGTTACACCACAGACTCATAAAAGTAGCCAATGTTCCTGTCTGTGAGACAGGTCTATGAAAACACATCCTAAATTTTGGTCTATAAGTTACTTGGGTCACTTATTTCCATTACGAATAAACTTTTCTATTTACGTTTTCATTACTCCGTTAGTGTCTCTCCCTTATCATTCTTTGTCTCTGAACTTGCACCTTGCGAGGGGGCCAGGGCTTGACCTTGGTGGGGTGACTTTTGTTTTCTTCGTAACAACCATTGATACAGTAAAACAGCGAAAACTGCATTAGTGGGGAGTCTGTTAATCTTAAAAAGACTAGCTAATGTTAGCTTGACTAATTAATAGGGGTGTAATGATGCATCAATCTGGATCAATATATCGATTTAATGATCAACGATCCAATCACATCATGCATAGTGAAAACATCGATCCATATCGTCATCTTTAGCATAGACTTTTATTTTGAAAGTCTGTGTCACTGTAAAACAGCGGCAGGCAGACGGCAAGCAGCCAGGAGAAAGACGATGAGGATAACGTTATTTCCTCAGGAATAAATCGGCAGCATGGAAATATTTTGGATTTTGGAGAAAATACAAGACAACAGACAGAGCACATGCCATATGTAAACAATGACGTTACAAGATAAAACACAACGTAACGTTAAAGGATAACTTTGGTATTTTTCAACCTGGGCTCTATTTCCCCATGTTTATGTGTGCGTCTGATTCATAGGTACAACTCGTTCTAAAATTGGTTCAATATTGAGGGAGGCGGATGCAACCGGGAGCCGTGAAACGAGCTAAAAAGGTAACAGGGGCAAATGCGTCCCGTATAAGTTTGCGCAGTAAAAGTGCTTTTTTTCCACCACTGACCAGTTCAGATCGCCAGTGTTATCTCTGTAAATAGCATACTAGCATTTCCTATACGGGACGCATTTGCCCCCATATCTACTGTTTTAGCTCGTTTCGTGGCTGCCGGTTGCGTCCGCCTCCCTCAATACTGAACCAATTTTAGAACAAGTTATACCTAAGAATCATACGCACACATACACATGGGGAAATAGGGCCCAGGTTGAAAAATACCAAAGTTATCCTTTAACGTTACCTGCCTGGACGAGCGTCTCACTCCGCTAACTTCTTGCTTTAGCAACATTAGCTGCTCTGTTTTAACAATGTTTGGCTGAAAAACTGTGCATGAAGACTGAAATTCAACTGAGCTGTTTTGTCAGGAGATGCAGTGACTTAAACCAACGGTGAGTAAGAAAAAAAATAATTCTGCATGTTAGTGTTGTCACGGTACCAAATTTGGGACCCATGGTACGATACCAGTGAAAGTATCATGGTTCTGAGTAGTATCAGGATACCACAGCGAAAATGAGGCAGATGTGCCTTTTGTCATTTATAAAAAGATAAATCAGTTTTCTATAATACATCACTGATATTTCAATGGAATAAATTACTTATTGACTTATTCATACTTCAAAAACAGCATCAATAAGTGATTAACATAGGGGGGATAGAAATAACATAAAAAAATGAAATACAAATCAACCAGCCACCCTCCTCCCCTGACAAGTAAAGAACAGTCCCAAAGTGTGGTGAGGTTTGTGGACCGTTACCTGCCACAAAGAGAGAAGGCACATACCTGTGTGTCGCCACGGCTCGGCTGTTCAAGTATTTCTGGGCAGTCACAACACCGACGAAGACTTATTGGACCTGGAGCCCAGAATTCCCCATCACCAGTAAGCTGTTATCTTGCGCCGCAGAGCACTATGGCCGCTGTATTTGACCGGAATACATATTCCTGTCAGTGTCTGTGACCCCCGTTCAACCCATAACCGGCAGGATTCGCCTTTTGTTTCTGCTGCTGGTTGAAATCTGTAGCCTACTTGCACGGCATGCTGAATGATTTATTTTGCTCGCACAAAACTATTTTTAGTCGCAAATGCGAGTAAAATGCTCGCACGTAGAGCTCTGTGGAAAACAAATCACTGTAGCATAAACAAATCTAGCCTACAGGTAAAAATAAATTAATAATAACTTCACTGCTTAAAGATACTCAATAGCTCAGCTAATAATGTCACTATAGCAGCATATTGAGTGCCAGGCGCATGGACACTCACCCTCTTGCGATTGGACTTTGAACTTATCCCACAGTAGTGGTGCCGTGAGGTACCGTAGTACTACGGTACCCCAACATTATGGTATCATATGTACCGTTGTGTTTTAGTACCACGGTCTACCGTTGGTACCGGTATACCATGCAACACTACTGCATGTAATCTGTTAAGCTATGAGAAGAGGAAAAATGTCCCCTAGTCGCTAGGCTAATTTATGCAGTGTAAACATGCTTACACTAATAATGGGTGATTAGCAAGAATCAATTGTTTTGCCTCTGAAGCTTGACAGTTATTACTGAGAATGTGATACTTTTATTGAATGATCTTGTTGTTAATCTGTGTTTTATGGCTGTTTGGAGAAGTTTGCCTTCAGAGCTTTGAGCCAGATGTTCCTGAAGTTTTATGAAAAAGATGATGGTTTTGGGTCAAAATAAAAAATAATTGTTCATGAAAGGTCTCTCTGTCAGAAAGCCCTGAAGGTTAACTTATCCCATTTGCTGTTTTAATTTGTGTTGGTGGAGGCAGGTTTAAGGTGAACTTTACTGTACTTATTATTTATGTGTTGTTTTTGTATTTTATGGCCAAAAGTAAAAAAAGAAAGGGATGGCAGCGTCTTCTGTAACAGACTGTGTTAAATGGGCATTTAATATCGCCTAATATCAATCGCAGACTCCAGAATCGCATCAAATTATATTCGTATCATAGCAGACTTTGTATTATTGGAAAATATCATATTGTGTCCAAAGAATCGATATAATATCATATCGTGATAAAACTGGTGATTTACATCCCTACTAATTAACCAATTAATATCAGTTTTGCATGCACGGGCAGTCCTCTAGGGTTAACAAATTACTTTTGCAGCTGAACAATGATGTTGTAACCAGTTCACCAGGCTTTCACCATTTTTTTTTTTTTTTATTTTAAGTGTGTTTAAAATTGTTTTAGCTTGTCAAGCAGCAAACTCCTGTAAGTTCAATGGCGTTATGTCTTTACTTTCTGATAATGACTGTTAAAATAATTCTGCAATAATTTAGAACTGGAGGAAGGAGATCGGATTCAGCTCAAAATTCAAAGAGGAGCATTCACAGAGCAACATGCAGGTCAGTTACAAAGTGAAGACTCAATGTCTAAGGAGAACAGCTATGTATTTTTCTGTCTCTGTGGGTGTGCCCTTCTGCACTTAAAGGAATCATTCACAAAGAAGGAAGTGATAACCTTGAGTATATATTCAATACCTTGAGTGATTATTCAATGCCTTACATGTGTCATGAAACAACACAAAGGGTCACAGGTCACAATTACATTGAACATTCCTGCGTGTTACTTCAGTTCACATCTCTCTTCATGAAGCACAAAATTTCCATCACAATGACTTAAGTTGTTCTTTTATCTCAGACATGTTAGGATGTTACATGCCTTGACATGTTTCGGCGGAAACTTCCGCCTTCCTCAGAAGTGTCACTTTGTGGTGGTTGTGACATGTCTTTATTGACGTATCACAACCACCACAAAGTGACACTTCTGTCTGAGATAAAAGAACAACTAAAGTCATTAAAGTCCTGTAAGGTATAACTCGGGGTATGATGTTAGGTAGTGTTCATTAGTGAGCTGTGTGCAGCCGAGCAAGAGCATGTATGTCCTTATATGTGTGAAGTCAGTAGTGCAGTGTGTGCACAGTGCAGACTGTTTGACGCTGAAATGCTACAACTCCTCGAAACCCTAGCCAAGTCCCCACATTGCTTGCTGCTGTAGTGGATTAGCTCCACAGTTAGGCACGTTTCGATTCACTTAAGGCTGGGCAACCCTTACGCTGTTCTCATTTTAGTGACAAGCCACTCTTCCCAAGTTTTGCTCAGCTATATATGTAGCAGTGCAGTGTGTTTATCGTGTAGGCTGTTTGTTGGTGAACTGATGTTACAGCTCGAGCCAGGTTCCCATGCCTTGCACGCAGGTGAGTGGGGTTAACTTTGGCTCTGGTTTACCTGAGTTTTTTTCCAACGTGGGTAAACCCGCTAAAACTATATTGTAGACTCCTTTCCCACTGCCAGTAGATCAGGGCTGTGCACACTGCAGCAGACAGTATCCCTTACTGTGTGTGTTTTTGTTTTTTTTCTTGGTGTGCTCAAAACAAGGTAGGAGGACAAGTCGAGTGGTCTACGGTGAGGCCAAGCTAACAGCCTGTCAGTCAAAGTGACCACGCCCTTGATTATGCAGAATTTTAAGCCTTAATAACATTTAAATGGGATCGAATGATGAAATAAGGCATAGGGACCAAAACTGCTTTTTGCACCACTCTGTAAACATGTTTATTTTAGCTGTAAAGTTGGGCATTTTGACATGGGAGTCTATAGGAATTTGCTCTGTTTTGCAGCCAGCCCCCAGAGGCCAGTCCATGGGTTTTCGGCATCTCTGCGTCTGCCTCAGCGCATTACCTTATCTGACCTGCCCATCCTGGAGAATGCCAATTGCTCAAAGCAAGGTAGGGAGGTCAGGTTGAGTGGTCTGCGGTGAGGCCGAGCTCACGGCCTGTCACTCAAAGTGACCACGCCTTTAGTTATGCAGAACTTGAAGTCTTAATAACATTTAAACAGGATTGTTAAAAAAAAAAATTCAACCCCCCGTAAACTTGTCATGAATGATGAAATAAGCCATAGAGACCAAAACTGCTTTTTGCACCACTCTGTAAACATGTTTATTTTAGCTGTAAAGTTGGGCATTTTGACATGGGAGTCTATGGGAATTTGCTCTGTTTTGCAATCAGCCCCCAGTGGCCAGTCAATGAATTGCAGTTTTCAGCATTTCCGCATTAGCGTCAGTCGTACGCCCTGGACGTTGCCGTCTGGTTCAATGTCATGAACAGGTTAGGTCAGTAAACAATAGAGAGGAGCCCAGAAGACAGTGAAAATATTATGGTGGTGACTCCTTTTTATACATCTCTAACTTCTAAGTCTCTCTCAAACTCGGTGTCAACTAATTTGAAACAATGTTTGAGAGCAGCTTAGGTGGAGGCATATGGTATTTTGTGGTGACTTGTCATTGCAGCTCGCCAGTGAAGGGGCTAAAATTAGCAAATTTACCCTGGTGATGTGTTCCCATCAATGTCGATCAGAGCCAGAGGAGATAAATACCCCTCAACTACTGCACTCATTTGACGAGTGTGAATGCCTATTAGACGCTTACCCATTGCATTAAAAAGCCAGATGTTAGTGGGTTTTTGTACAGTGGAAAAGTGCACTAACTTTGAAGGTGGAGCAGGATAGCTGTTCATATCTCGACCCTCACAAATTCTCTGGTGGAAAACTGGGTGCACATATTTTTGGTTATCGTAATAATGAATAAATGAGATTTTTTTTTTTTTTAAACTATGAGAAATTGTGCTGATACTCTCTGCAGGAAGAATGCTGCTTGAAGCAAAACTTGGATGTTCAAAAATTTGTTAGAATAATACAGCCAAGTCTGACAAAGTTTTTGGCTGCAGATAAGAAACAGACATTGAGGTTTGCACAAAGAGCCTTAAGTTCTAATACTATCATTTTAGTCATTTACAATTGGTAACACATAGTGGAATACCTGGAAAATTATGGGAAATTTCCCCAATGTTTTGGAATTGAATATTTTTCTTATATACATTTACATTTGTCTTCTATGCTCCCCTCCCTAACAACACCCTTTAAGTCTGGATGCATTGCTTAAATAATTGACATACTACAAAAAGTCATTAAAAGGTATGTTTACACAAGCTTTTGTGTCTGTTTCCTAGCATTTGCAAAGTTTGGTGTCATAGCTGTAACAGAAGGTGAAGTTGTTGACAGTTCGGGGACTGAGTCTGATGACGATGAAGGTATAGTAAAGAATCCCTAACCACCAAATATGACAAAGGCTTGTTTCAGTTAAAGTTGTAATATATTTTTTGTAACATATAAGTGAGTTCCTCTGTGTCACATGGGGCTTATGTTGTTCATTTGATAAGGGACAAGTTTGAGGGAACTGTGAATAATGTTTTTTTTCTTCCTCCTGCTTCTCCAATCATGGTCAAAATTTGTCTGCCTGCCCTCTCCTGAGCCTTGCCTAACATCATCCTCTGATTCATCAGACTTGAAGGATTCAGTCATCATTCCAGACAGCCCTCCCACAAAACGACACAGGCCAAATCGAGACGCTGAGCAAGTAAGAGTTGACACACACTTGATCTGTAACGGTGTTTGGGTGAGTGGAGCACATCAAGTGGCGTCCACATGAAGGTTTCCCAGAACACTGCATTGTAATAAGATATTAGTGTTACTCTTCACCCACCAGGGGTTTTAATGTTTTGGATGATCAGTGTATATACATAAACATACACACATACACACACAGACGTAAAAACCTATACAACTACTTTACATATCTTGTTCTAGCTTTTTTTTTTTTTTTTACTGGCTGCCAACATTATTTCAATCAGATACTTATCCCTAGAGTTGGTTGTGGCAGAGATACTCCCATGATGTATAGTGCAAAAATCATGTAAAATCTCAAAACCCATTACTGAATTTATCATTCTTACCATTTACCCCCCCCCCCCCAGTGAGGACGGATCGTTGGGCAGTCCCAGAAAATGTGGAAATGGTCTGCCTGGGTGTTTCCACACTCATTCCAGCAATGTCCACTTCTTGGCTGATCTTTCTGATTGTTTTTTATTTTTGGAGTGATGAATTTATTCATATTTTTCCATATAAATTCCCTCCAATGACCTGAACTTTAAGTGTTCAGTTTTACAAATATTAAGCCAATCATCTTCTGAGATAGTTATTTTAGCTTCCTTCATCCATTTAGCTTTAACAGAAAGTGTGGAACTCCCATTATGTGACTGTAAACATGAATAGATTCTAGCGATCAGTTTTCTGTTGAGTTTAAATTTGTATGCGTCAAACAAGATGTTAATTAAGTCTGTGTGGCATTCTTCTGTTGTTTTTATATAAATATTAAAGTGGGCTCTAACCTGAAGGTACCTGTAGAAGTTGATTTTCTAAATCATGTATATCTTTACATTTTTGAAAGCTTTCTAATCCCCCTTTATCAGAAATGAGACAGTAAATTGTTACAAATTTAAAGGACCAGTATTTATATCGCTCGTCCATCTTGGCAGGATTAAAAACTTTGTCATGGCCCTTCCATCTTAACAATTCCAACCTGATATTGTGGCATTCACTTAACAATATGTTCAATGGTGTTTTTGTCCATCAATTTAAGCTTTCTTTTTGCAATAAATATAGCCTCCTGTAACACTGTTCTGGTCTACCGGCATTATGAACAGTGCCCCAGATTTGTTGACCTACACTCAACAGAGTTAAACTGCTGTTTGTATGCTTCTTATGTGTATTTACTGCTTGTCTGTGTACTTTATTAAAGAATGAAGACTCCAACTGTGTGTGTTTCTCACTTATGGTGTACCTTTAAACATGTTAGGAATACTTTCAATCTCTTTATGAATACTTTCAAACTTACTAGGAGTACCTTCAACTCACCATAAGTACCTTTAAATTAATTAGAAATAAACCCTGTACCTTTAAATCTCGGAATAATACAAATTAATGACCAGGAAACAATGTTACGGTTTTAAAATATCAAAATTAAAAGATTTATTACACCCAAATCAAATGTGAAAAATAAAATAAAGCAATTGACCTTTCAGGCAAATACCCAGTAAACAAATACACTAGTTGTAGTTTTTACTCCTCCCTTATGAGTTAAGTACTCTACTCAACCTCACTGAAATACTAGTAAAGCTACTGCAAATATGCTTTTATGCTTTTAAGGCACTAATCACTTAAAACACCAGTTAACCTTATGTTACTCAATATATCGAATGTGCATGACAGGCACGTTAAACCATAGTTCACCTAAAATTACTCCAAAATATAGCAAATGTGCATTAAAGGCACTTGAAGCTTCAACAGCTCACATTACTCAACAATATTCAGTCATTTGACATCACACATACAATCTTTGTGGTGAGACGACGGCCGCCAAATGTGACCCGTGATGGCGGGCTACTCACCCTCCAAGGTCCAGTTTACCTCTGTGCTTGATCCTCTGTGGAGCGGCGGTCCTCACTCCAGTGAAGAAGCGGCTCCTCACAGCAGTCCTCAGCGATATGAAGAAAAGTCTCTCCTCCCTCTGTGCCAGACATGCAGCTTGGCTTTACCTGGTCACCCAGTGCGCTGTCTGGTTTCCTCTCGGCCAATGTCAGGCTGATATCCACTGGGGCGCTAGCTGACGATTAGCACCAAAGCTAATACAGTCCAATGTCCACAAGCAATTATGCCTGGTACACACTACACGACTTTTCTGCCCGTTCTGAAAGTCACTATGTCACATTAAAAGACTGTGGAGTCATAAAATCGTGCCGTGACTTGGCCGACAGACATGACACACTACAAGATGGTACTCACCAATTATCCCAAGACGTGTGTAATGTCATCGGGTTATTCTTGTCCTATTTTTATTACTTTTACTATTGTTTCAGTCACTGTGTCTGTTCATGTGCCAGCCGAAACGTTGTTGTAGTAACGTAAAAAGCGCCAGCAGGTGGCAGGAGCTACATTTGAAGTATGGTATGCAAACATACAAGCAACTGAATCCTCCACAACAAGTTCCTGCAAATGTTTCACAATAAAAGCCTATTTAGAAAATGAAGGGATTCTCGAAACTGAAATTATAAGGGGCTTTTAATCTGAAACAAATTCAGGAAGTGTTGAGTTTGAAATGACAGCACGACGCGTTAACTTTATCAAGGCAACAGGAGTGGATAAAAAATAAAAATTTAAAAACACAGAGGGATTAATAAATAACGGCCTGTCTATAATCTAGACTGTTTCAAATGAAGCTGGTAGCCTCTGATGCTGCCGACACCATACAATGCTGCATCGGCCTATAATCGGGCTGATATCTTGTAGCGTGCTGCAGGCATTACGTAGCGAAAGCATAGCTGTTAGCCTCAAGCTAACGAAGTCCAAAGCCGACACGTGCTGCCTTTATGAGAGTTTAGCGGTTAGCTTCAAAGCTAATGAAGTCCAAAGCCGACGTGCTAGCGAAGTTAAAGCGGCTATTAGCTTAACATTAGCTGCAGTCTCACACTAAACTCTGACAGTCATAACACACTGCATTTAACTCACAATAGCAGCAGCAGTAACTCACTGTGTCTTGCAACTTCAGTATGACTCTTAATAAAGTTCGTAGATAACAATATCGTCGTGTAGACGAGCTGAAAGTCGGGAGTTGTTTTAGCAAGGAATGATAAAACGAATTGCTCACACACTCTTACTTGCTCACCTCTGTTGTTGTTATCCCGCCCCCTAACCAATCAGAAACCAAGGAACTTGATGCTGACGTTGCCTCTTGACTGCAAATTAGCAGGTTAGGTTTTAACACCTCTCCACGTGCAAACAAATCTCCTGTGGTGCATTCACTATCAATAGTAAATGGCAGCACTCAAAAGGAAATAGACATTTTAACCTATGATTTTTTTTTACCTATTACATGGCTACACAAATAAAACAAGAAAATAGCCTAGGGTTTAGCGAACAAAATAACCCAGGGGGTTACACTCCTATCTCCAAGTGATGTCTGGAGGGGTATGTCCAATTGAATTAGATCAAAATGTTTCAATTTAGCACGGTCATGTGGGTTACATGAATAAATCATCTTAATTGTGCAGATTTATAACAGTTCTCTATATTTGGCAGAGATAGTCCCCTTTCTCATACTTTATCTGATCCTCAGTTTAAGGCCCTTCCATATGAATCCAGAAAACATTCTTTTTTCACTCATTATATTGTTTAGATGGTATTTCTATGGATATTGATTGAAAGAGAAAAAATAACTGCAGTAAAATATTCATCTTAATTATGTCTATTCAATTATACAGGTCCAGTGGCAATAAGATCCATCTACTCTAATCTGCTTTTATTTCTTTAGTAAGTGACGAGTAATTTGTAGTGTAAATATTAAATAAATCCTTTGGAATTTTGATCCTCAAATACTTCATAATGTCATTGTCCCAACTGAAGTTATAAGGATTATATATTCTTGCTGCAGGTCTGTAATTATATGAGATGATTTTTGTTTTGTGTATATTTAATTTGTAACCTGAGTTATGACCAAATGTTTTCAAACGATACATTAATTTAGGTAAACTCAAATTGGGTTGTGAAAGGGTGATCAATAAGTCATCTGCATGAAGGCAGGTCTCTTTAATCCAAATTCCATGTATTTCTTGATCTTCTCTAATTGCTAGTGCAAGTGGCTCAATAAATAAAGTAAACAAGGCTCAGCTCAGGGGGCACCCTTGCTTACAACCTCTTTCACGTGGCACAGGGTGAGTTAAAGTGCCATTTATTTTTATTCTAGCTGTGGACAAGTCTATATATTGTTTTAAAATTGAATGACTTAACTATTAAAGCCAAATCGCTGCGATGTTAAATATAGGTATTCCCACAACCCCCAACCCTCATCCCTTCATACCAGAACCTTCATCCCTTCATACCATAACCTTCATCCCTTCATACCACAACCTTCATCCCTTCATACCATAACCCTCATCCCTTCATACCACAACCTTCATCCCTTCATACCATAACCCTTCCCTTTTGTAATCCTTTGATCCTCAGTCTATCATATGCATAAACAATTTTGATCTGTATCTGTATTGGGGTGGTTTTTGTTAGTGAATTGATGATAACTGATGTTACAAAATACAAGAAACAAATAAAATATGATGTATGATTGATTACAGATTTGGATGAAACTTTATTGATCCCTGGAGTACATTCACAAGTGACTTTAGCAGTATATAAACTAACTAAAATGAGCTTTTACCATGGACACATCAGTGCATCAATAATTTTGATCCAGTAATTAAGAACCAAAAGTACTTTTACTTTGGCGGGGCTGTGACTGAATTTGTTTTACTCTGACCTTCTCCAGAGCTTTGACTAGTTTTCCTTGAGCCTCCCTGAGTGACTGGCAGCAAATGCATGACCTTCCCTCCACCATAAATGAGTTATTAGAAAACTTACACTTTGATGCTTGAAAGTTTTAGGTTTAAAGTTGAAGATGAAAAAAATCCCAGCTGATCTCAAACAGCCCAATTAACTGAAGGAGCAGCTGACTGATGGAAGGGAGTCAGCTGATAGATCACAAGATTCCTTTCTATGCAACCAACTGGTGAATCTCATTCAGAGCGCCCTATTTAAACTGCTCTGGTCTGCCTACTGTTGCTGCTCTTTGTTACAATAAGTTGTAAAAATGAAAGGGATACCCATTTCAAGCCAAGGTCTCACTCTTTCCTTTAATGTAGGAATGACTGTTGAAAGATGTTTTGATGATGAGCAGTTCACACAAGAGTAAAAGGTGTGACAACTAACCCCAGTCTCCCTGGGGTTTTGGCAGGGTGAAACCACCCATGTCTCCTGGCTTAGAAAGATGTTTTTCTTTAGAGATTCTGATTGCTTTGTAATTCAAAAAAATTCTTATTTTTTAAGCTCTTCTTCACTCCAATGTCCTCCTGAGACCCCTCGTCCTCATATGAGGACATCACATTTTGGGTTTGCTGCACCTTATACTCCATTGTGCTCACCTTAGACCTGTCCTCATTTGTGGACACTTCTTTGTGCCATCTTGTGGTAGTAAAAGCACAATACACTAGTACATGTAAAAAACAAGATGGCAGCCAAGTCAGTTTGCAGCTGATCACGTCACAAAAGTGGACAAGGTCCAAAACCTGATCACATTTTATGGTTGAGCAGTTTGATATGACAACAAATTTGACCAATTTTGGCAACAGTAACAACATAAGACGCTGTTGATTAGGAAGTACTCGTTTAAAGATGTTGGGACTTTATTATTGCAGCATTTCACACAGGCCAATTAGGTGTGTAAGACAAAAAGGACATTCCTAGCTTGGAGTATGGAGCAAGGAAAATTCATACAGAGTGTTCCGTCACCAATAGAAAAGGTGATGGTAAAGGATTGTTTGAGGGGCATAATCTCCAATATATATGACCTTTTGGTAGGCGAGTCCTCAGAATCATCTATGAAGAAACTAGAGGCATGGAGAGAAGACTTTCGTGAAAACATCGAAAGTGAGGACTGGGAGAGGGCATCTACTAAAGCACAATCACAAACTTAAATTACTGCAGTATAACTGGCTGATGCGAACCTACATAACTCCAGAAAAGCTCAATAAATACAATAGTATCATACCTGATTTATGTGTCAAATGCGGAAAGGAAAAAGGTATACGTTTCCTCTGTTTTTGGCAGTGTACTCAAATAAAAAAGGTTCTGGGAAGCAGTGAGCGACACCATCCAGGATATATTATCCGTACAGATACCTCTACACCCAAAGCTTTTTATACTAGGTTTGTATCCACCCAATCATATCATCAGCAGGAGAATACAAATTTCTTTTGAAATGGGCCTGTTGCTTGCTAACAGAGTTATTGCTCTGTCATGGAAGAAAGTCGGTAGGCGGAGTAAGGGTAGATGGATCTCTGAACTATCAACAACTCTGCCCTTGGAAAAAATTACACACGCTATCAGAGGTAGTCAATCTCTCTTTTTCTTTTTACGACGTATATGTTCACATTCTATTTGTGTGTACGTGTATGTCTTTGTTTATTGTTGTTAAAATCAATAAAGATACTGTTGGGGGAAATAAAGCCATATCAAAGAAAAGGTAGGGTCTCAGGAGGACATTGCTGTTATCATAATCATCAGACTGGCACTAGTGTTGGAGTGATGTAATGCAGTACACAGCTTTCACCACTAGAGGACAGTCGAGTGCTGAACAACGGAAGTGAAAGTATTTACAGTCCGTCAGCAGCAACAGAACACGGGGTTCATCGCAATATCTCTCCTCGACTCCTCCGTCCTCTGTCGATACCCACCATCTTGTAGGACGTTTCATTTCGTTAAATGCACTCAGAGGAGTCGAGGAGAGAGGAGAGAGGAGAGAGGAGAGAGGAGGCTTTCAGAGGAAAGGGAAGCATGGGTACTTGAGTGCAGCCTTCGCAGAAGTCTTTTACCGACCGACACACCTCCCTGATTGGATATCAGTTATTGATTGGACTTATCTGATACATCCCAACATCACTGGAGTTCGATCTGTTATTTCCCTCATCAACTTTTATTATGGATACAATCAAAGAGTCAGTCTGTCAGAGAGGCTGTCTGTCAAAGAGTCAGTCTGTCAGAGAGTCAGTCTATCAGAGAGGCTGTCTGTCAGAGAGTCACTCTGTCAGAGAGGCTGTCTATCAGAGAGGCTGTCTGTCAGAGAGGCTGTCTGTCAGAGAGCCTGTCTGTCAGAGAGGCTGTCTGTCAAAGAGTCAGTCTATCAGAGAGGCTATCTGTCAGAGAGGCTGTCTATCAGAGAGGCTGTCTGTCAGAGAGGCTGTCTATCAGAGAGGCTGTCTGTCAGAGAGTCACTCTGTCAGAGAGCCTGTCTGTCAGAGAGCCTGTCTGTCAGAGAGGCTGTCTGTCAGAGAGTCACTCTGTCAGAGAGTCAGTCTGTCAGAGAGGGTGTCTGTCAGAGAGCCTGTCTGTCAGAGAGGCTGTCTATCAGAGAGGCTGTCTGTCAGAGAGTCACTCTGTCAGAGAGTCAGTCTGTCAGAGAGGGTGTCTGTCAGAGAGGCTGTCTGCCAGAGAGTCTGTCTGTCAGAGATACTGTCTATCAAAGAGTCAGTCTGTCAGAGAGGCTGTCTGTCAGAGAGTCAGTCTATCAGAGAGGCTGTCTGTCAGAGAGGCTGTCTGTCAGAGAGTCAGTCTGTCAGAGAGCCTGTCTGTCAGACAGAAACATTTTAACATCACTGACTCTTTTCCATTCAGTCACACTGAGGCTGATCATTCCTGAGCGTCGGGTTGATGAGTTATAGAATTTTAATTCTCCCTGAAACATGTGGCCTAATAAATTATTTCCAGTGTTCAAAGACACCATGATCATATTCTGGGTCATTAAATGATGAACTCACAGTCACATTATCAACAAATACAGATGCAAATAATGAATAAATCATATAAACACACAGTGTGACTCTGAGCAGGACACAGGACAGATTATAAATACAGTATGCAGATTGTTGTTCATGTGCAGGTGATTGTTCGACAGAGAAAACACTGCTCTGCTACTGAGAACTGGATCTGTATCTTTATATATGTACATATAACATTCAGTGTGCAGTAACAAACTCCTATTAACCACCTATCCAAACTATTATTTTTCACTTTTGTTAACGGCACATAATATAATAGTGGCACATAATATTGATATAACAATAAAGGCCAAACACACGTTGGTTACTGGTTGTGGTCTAATTTCTAATCCAATTGCCCATTTGAAGAAGAAAATGGAAAAAGCAAACGGACAGACAAATTAATGCATTTAATATTTGTTTATCCTGTTATAAAACAAACAAGTTGAACACAGCTGTGGACAGAGGGGACACACACCTGTAACACCTTTGCTCAGTTTGCATCAGTCATTTATTCATTTAACCCTAACCCAGCCTTTAGTAATATCATTAATTAATTTTACTACTTGGGATACAAATTTGTTTCAGTTTGTGGCTGGTAGCCTATATTCCTTTTTTTAATTAAATTCCGACCTTAGTAATTAAATAATGTCTTTCACCGTGTTGTCCGCGTTTATATATCCTGCATGAAACTAACATTATCTAAGATGCGCTTTTTGTAGTCCATCTTTAGAAAATTGTAGTTTCACCACAGCAGACATACGTCAATAACATCCGCCGTCGCATCATTACGTAGCCCAGTGTAAGTGCAGTTGGATTCTCTCAGCACCGCAGTTGTCTTTTCCTAAGTCCTTATGAATTCTCCTTCACATCTCCCCTTGGCCTCGTAACGCCATCGAGGTCAAGGAAAAGTGGTTAGGAAAAGACTTTTCGACCGTAGCCTTCTTCTTCTTCTTCTTCTTCTTCTTCTTCTTCTAATTCTTCTTCTTCTTCTAATTCTTCTTCTTCTTCTTCTTCTTCTAATTCTTCTTCTTCTTCTTCTAATTCTTCTTCTTCTTCTA